GAACTGGTCAACCCAGAGTGTGTGGTGGGGAGAGTTCCCAACACATCTCAGTATGAGTTGCTCCTGAAGGTGGAGACCTCAGGCCACTACATTGGCTCCGTTCTCTACAAGGTACATAATCATAGTGACAGCAATTCTAAATAAGTTCTAGACACACTGTTTTATTTTGCTGACGTTTCAAATAATGGCAATAGGCAAAAACTTAGCCATAAGAAAAGTCCCCAGAAGTACCTAAGGCACCCCCTCCCTTCCTCCTCCTGACAGGGTCAGATAATAGGGCCTCCTCAGTTCACCATCATCTCCCTGACACCCAACGAGGCAGCCACAGTCAACAAGAGCATCACCAAGAGACTGTCAACCTTTACTACGAGGCCTCGGTAGCCAGTGACGGTCGACACAAGAAGGTCTTCTGCTACCTCTTCCCCAAGGTTAGTAGGAAGAATGTCAATTTTGGTTGTGAAGTATGTCCCTAGCTTGAGCAGGCTTCAATCTCACATTCAAGGACATTTCCCCACAATGCATTAAAAATCGATTTACCATAATTACTAATTTTCCCCGCTTCACCAACTTGTAATGGTTGCCATGGTTTTATAATCTTGTGGAAGGAAATATCGACTAGAGCAGGAGAAAGCATTGCCTCAAGAGTGACTGTGGAGAATAGGGTGGCCTAAAGTTGCATTATGCACGTGTAGGTGAGGATAGGATACTAGAGATCTTCAATGCAGACTCTGTATAAAGATTTGTAGGAATGACAACTGGTGACTGCTGTGTTTGCATGCCGTGTGAATTCCGCAGCAACTCCAGGTCAGAGAGTACTACCTAAAGTTCATTCCCTACCGAATCTACACCTGCAAAGTCTGCCCCTCCACCAGCGTGAGTGATCATGTGACCATCACATGACACCTCTGTCTATCACGTGACTATCACATGACCAGATCCACCTGGGTGTGGAGGAGGGAGAGTTCACAGTGGACGATGGGTACCAGCCTCCCCTATCACTCCGGTCCAGACAAAGGGAGCTCATCGCTGCCACATACTACAAATACCTTCTCAGGAACATTGGTATAGCATTTTGGGGAGAGAAAAGTTTATAATTGATCAGATTGCAGCGAATTCTTAGCGAATTCCTGGAGTATCCTTAATATTTATCTTCTCTTTACTAGTTTCTTCCTAGATATGGATGTTTTCTTATTTTTGCGGAATCCAAAATTTTTTCCTGCCTGGAAAGTTTTCTGGTGTTCTGTGTAGGAGGGTCGGAGCAGTTCCAGGACAAGAGGAAGTTCTTCAACTCGGAGCTGAGGAGCCACCACTCCAAGGGACCTCGCGGAGAGAAACACCTCCACATCGACCGTTTCAACCTCCTGCAGAGTGTGAGCAGCTGCTACATGTAGCTGGCCCCTCCATCTCTTGCTGCTAGCATTGGAGCTGCAGTATCTGCGTTAGCTTGTCCATACTGTCAGAGATTATGCATTGAGTGTGTGTGTGTGTTGTTAGTGTGTGGTTGTTTCCTCAAGTGTGTTATGTTGCACCGTTTCCTTGTGTGAATTGCTAGTTTCCTAGCCTCACAGTTGTACTCCATTGCCAGAGTGTGTGTGTGTGTGTATGTGTGTGTGTGTGTGTGCAGGCAATGAAGGAGACTAAAGGTTTCAGTGCCTCCGACTGGCACAAGGCATTCACAGTCACTTTCATTGGAGAAGAAGGTGAGCAGACAAGGCTACCCTTCCTCCCTGAATATGTGCCCCCTCTCTCTCTCTCTCTCTCTCTCTCTCTTCTGTCAGCATTGGACTGGGGTGGAGTGAGTCGAGAGTTCTTCCACCTCCTCTGCACCCAGTGTTTCAACTGTTCCAACGGAATGTTCCGGAGGTTCAAGGACGACTCACAGGCTCTGGTCAGCACACCTCACTACATAACCCAAACCAATTGTAATCTCTACTTTCAAAAACTTTTACACAAACTTGTTTTTGAGGGGAAAGTCGGAAAAAGGGTCGGTTATCATGACAGCCTTAAACTATTGAAAGAATGGTAAATCAGTTTTTGTAATTCCACCGAAAAGCTCTGCAGTGTTATATGCGGTGTGTATGTGCCAACCTCTAAATACACACACACACACACACCTCCCCAGGTTCATCCAAATCCTCACCATCCTCCCACCGTCACACCTCACCACTATCACTTTGCCGGTCGAGTGGTCGGCAAATGTCTGTTCGAGAGTTCTCTCGGAACCAACCTCCACGTCTCGGCCCACTTCACCCGCTCCTTCCTCGCACAGATCATCGGCCTCCGCATCAACTACAAGGTTTGTTAGGTCACCGTGGCAACTAGCTCCGTGTGACATCATCAAGAATGATCTCATATTGAAAATGCACGGTGTCTTGTTATCAAAACCACGATCTCTTGAGAGATGCCATCGTTATGTGTTTTTGGTATGGAGAGAATGAAGATAACCCACAGTATACATGTTTATGGTGTTGCTTAATTCCCAGGAACATACATATTAACCACACACCTACATAATTACTGAATATCTGTGGTGAATGGGTTAATGGGTGGTATGCACTATATGCTGTGGGTTGTCATCTGTGAAAAGGAGGGGAAGGAAGAGGGGGAAGTTAGTGAAACATGTTCTGTCTGTCTGTCTCTCTGCTCTGTCACCCAGTATTTTGAGAGTGATGACCCAGATCTCTACGTGAGCAAGATACAGTACATCAGAGAGAACGGTGTGAGTGACCTGGAGCTGGTCTTTGCAGAGGAGGAGTTCTCTGAAGATGGCACTGTCAGGGTGAGAGAGAGAGGTGGAGAGGAGGGGCATGCACAGATAACTTATAGAGTGAGAGGCACAGAATGTTCAAGAAATGAAATGAGAAGCATCTGGTATATACTGTAAAGACCACCCAATGTTTGACTTGGAGGTGGTTTAATATCTCTCTCATTCTCTTTGTGGGTGTGTGGGTCAGGTGGTACCACTGGAGGAGGGAGGGGAAGAGAAACCGGTGACAGATGAGAACAAGACACACTACCTCAACCTACTGGCTCAGTACAGACTGGCCAAACAGACCAAGACACAGGTGGAACACTTTGTGAAGGGTGAGCTAAAAGAGCAACCACACACACACACACACACACACACACACACCATGTAGGAAATAGAGAGTAATATCCTTACACAGGCCTGTAATGTATAGAGGCTAATTTCAAAGCAGAGTACAGCCCTCAATGAGGGCTGGGAGTCCAGACCACAACTCTAAGGGTTGGCAAGGTCACATGGGAGTATGATCAATAGCTACATGTAGGTGGCACTTCCCTTTCCCTGTTCCCACCCCTCAGACTATGTATGTGTGTATAGTATTGTGTTGTGTCATGCCCTGGCAAGTTTCTAGTCCCATGTGAATGTCAGGATTCTTCACGTGTCCTCACTTCAGTTTCATGTGTCCGATTCCTAACTGTTTCGACTTACCAAGCAGCCGGCAAAGAATTTCAAACTTGCAGCACAACCCTTTTTTACTCCAACGAGTAGAGTATTACGCTTGTTGTACATAATACCTGTTTGCTCTTGCTCGTAGTAGCCAATACGATACACTCTGAATCAGCACCACTAAGTACCTAGTGAACCTCATGACTTGGTCACATGTCACCTCTCAGTTCCAATTACCTCCTTTGACTCATGTGTTGGTACAATCTTAGTTCCAGTGTCTCTTGTGACCCTCTGTCTAACTGTAGTTGTCTAGTGTGTGCTGGTGGGTCATGTGAATTCTCTGTCTTATAACTCAGTTGTTGACAGTCTGATTCCTATTCAACCTTCCTATTCTGTAGGTCTGCACGATCTCATTCCTGACAATCTCCTGGGAATATTTGACGAAAATGAACTTGAGGTATATAGGTAGCTGCATGTGTACACCATTCGTTCTACATTACAGTCATGAGGCACTTATTAAAGTTCCCCCTTACTATCTCTTCACTCTCCCGATCTCCTCCCCTCTCTTCCACTGTCTTCATTTACAATGTGGTGTATGCAGCTGCTAATGTGTGGAACAGACGCGGTGAGCTACGACGACCTAAAGAAGCACGCGGTGGTGACTCCCAGCGCCAACACAAACTTCCAGAGAGTGGTCTCGTGGTTCTGGCTGGTTGTGAGTGGGTTCGCTCGCGAGGAAATGGCCCGACTCCTACAGTTTGTCACCGGGTCCTCTCAGCTACCTCCGGGAGGGTTCAAGGACCTCAGTCCAAAGTTTCAGATCACCTCCGCTCCCACCCACGGCCGCCTGCCCTCCGCACACACCTGGTGAGTGGGTGCCTGTCAGATACATCTGATTATAGGAGTTTCCCCCCACCCTCAGTTTCAACCAACTGTGTCTCCCTGAATATGACTCCTGTGAACAGTTTCAAACGGCACTAACATTGGCACTAAACGAAGGAACGGAAGGATTTGGCTTCCTATAGCAGCATTGCTTGTGTGTGTTGTTTTATGTGGGCACGTGCTTTTCACGTGTTAGATTTTTACAACGGTTTCTTGTATAGGACCACTTTTCGATAGCCTGTCTGTCTTGAGACTTGGTAACGGTGTTTTGCAGGGACGTGGGCACGAGGGCGAGTACCAGCCCATGTCCTCAGACTTCCCTCTCTCTTTAGTAAACCATATCGCTTACTATGCATACTTCCAATACAACGCTTATGAGCATTGGCATGTATGGAACGCGCGTTTTTGTCATGTGGTTCTTACGTAACTACGCAAGCTTGTCCTACCTGGCTGGCCGGGGCTAGGCTAGGGTCGGACACGGTCACGTGAATAGTACAAGAATTTCAATTAGCGCGCGTTGAGGAATGCATGACCTTCGACGACTTGCTCGACCTATTCTTAGTTTTTTGACAAAACAGAGGAAGCATTCGCTTGAAACCACACGGAGAGTTGTAAAAAGGATCAAAGTAAGGTACTGTGCATTTAGCTTGCCTCTAGGGCTCACGTTGTCAGTGTGACAGAGTTATTAGTATTCTTCACTATATCTTGGCGAGCGGTAGGGGATCGCTGGGGATAATAGGATTTTCGGTATCTTTCTTACATATTACATCGAGTCAGTTGCAAATCCTCTCCAAATCCCGCTTGGTTTTGCTACAGCACGCTCTTTTATCTCCCCATACATTCTTTACGGGAAAGAAATTGCTGTGTCAGCATAAATGTCACGCAATCCATGCGCATGTCCGACCTCCTCTCTGCGCGACGCGTAACGGCGTACGTGCGTATACTAAATGCACCATCAATACTGGCTTCGTCTTTACAAAGAAAAGAAAAAGAAGGAAAAAAACAACGTATATACATGTAGCTAAACTACAAGATCAACAACAAGAAACAAAAAAAACCAAAAAAAACACAAAAGAACAACAAAACAACGCAAACAACACAGAGTCAAATAACACCATCCAGAGAGGGGCAAGTTGTGGACTGCGGTGAATCCAGGCAGAAGCAATTTCCCCTCCAGAGAGATATTGCGAGTCTTTGTAAAGATGACGAGTAGATTCGACCGGAGAGATCCCCAAACGCTGACCCAAAAGACGGCCAGGCTGGAGATGGTTGTCAGCAGACATATCACTCACGCCACCTAGGGACTCTATGGCGAGAGGTGATGAAACTGATGCCAACGCCTGGCAGGCTGCACCGTGAGAAGCAAACTTTCTCTCCTCAGCAACTAAAAGGGCATGGCCCTGATTTTCTGCAGCACCCCGAACGGTTGATTGCTGTAGTGTAGAGATGACGGTGATGTCCAGGGCGGCAGGGCGGCCTCTTTTCCAGCAGGGGAGATAGATGTCAGCGGGCCGGCTTCGGGTGCCGGGGACCAGAGAGGGGACTTCCCTTCGGGGTGCCAAGGCAGCTGACTGAGCTGCTGAAAAAACTGCATCCCGAAGGGAGTTATGTCGGAGGATTCTGTCGCAGTTTCCTCCGCAACCCACTTGATGGTCCCCAAAGGAGTCAGCCGGGACATGACAAACAGGACACCTAATACCCTCCTCGAACATGTGGAGGCCCAGCCAGTACTGCAAGCAGAATCGGAATTCCCGGTCTGGAAGGTGGAGGCCCAGGGCAGAGGACGGGATCACGTTCAGCCAGTCGCCGGCATGACGAATGGCGGACGAAAGGGCCAGGGCTTTGGAGCGAATGTTTGGAGCTGAGGCCAACAGGGTGTCAAAGGATGCCTCATCTATAGCACGACAGAGGCTGTGTTGACTGTGGGGAACATCGATATCCTGGATGGACACCCAATCAGGTCTAGCTGAAGCCAGGGCCAGAGACCTAATGGTGTCAGGGAGGTGGACAGGGGGGTTGGCGGCGTGCCCCAGGATCCTTGAAATTAGGGGTCTGCTTTGAAGGAAGGAAGCAATATAGGCAGCAGGGGCATGTAAGGAGGCCTGACGAACATTCAGCCCCCCTAGGGACGAAGGGAGAGAGGCTTTGGCCCAGGACCAATCGGGTAGAGGGCCCCCAGCGAGATCAGAGATACTAAATGAAAGGGGCGTGAGAGATACTAAATGAAAGGGGCGTGGTCGTACGTCATGCGCATGTCCGTGTTAGCGTATCAAGTATCAAATTGAAGGTGATTATACGTAGCATAACTGTAACTCAGATGCACTGTGAGAATGTAAGAACATCCGAGAAGTGATGCGTCAGATGGCAGATCTTGGTGGTGTCCACGGTGTAAAGGACGAATATCAATACGCGACGGCAGTTTCTTCTCAAAATCACGGCTTCCACTGAAGAAGTGGCTGCTTTTACTTGCCGAGCGGTAGGGGATCGCTGGGGATAATAGGATTTTCCGTATCTATCTTACATATTACATCGAGTCAGTTGCAAATCCTCTCCGAATCCCGCTTGCCGCAATCCCTGCGTATGTCCGACCTCCTCTGAGGTCATTGTAAATGACATTTATGCTGACACAGCAATTTCTTTCCCGTAAAGAATGTATGGGGAGATAAAAGAGCGTGCTGTAGCAAAACCAAGCGGGATTCGGAGAGGATTTGCAACTGACTCGATGTAATATGTAAGAAAGATACTGAAAATCCTATTATTAACCCTGAACCGTCTTCAATAATACTGTAACTCCAAACAACGCGCGCTGTCATCGCATTCTGTAACGTTGAAATCCCCCTAGCTCAATAGAGCACAGAACTTCAAAACAACACACTGGCTGCGTTTCGACACTCCTAATAACGCACAGCACGGGGAATAAATATCCCGGGTGCGGATAGAATATCCTAGGAAATTTTATCCGATAATATCATAATCCTCTCCCGCCGGATAAAAATTCGGGGGGATGAAATGTACCTACACCGGGGCACTCTACCACGCGTAGTTACCGTGGCGACGCGTCTAACCGGTTTAGATCCATTCGAACTGTTTGCGAAGATATGGCGACCAGGAAGACTCCGAGAAGGAACTCGCCATACATGCTCACCACCACGAGCCAATCCTCGAACGCTTGTGCGCGTAAAGTGGGCGGAGCCCTTTCCGCGAAGCGCGGCGGACAACGAGCGAGTGCTGTAGCTTCCGCCTACCGTTTCTGGCTCGCCGCTGGTGGCTGAAACCTCGCTCGAGTCTCTTACCTAGCAATCGCGTCTTCACGCTCGCTCCCCAATAGAGCCCGTCGTCCGGGGCAGCGGGATCTACTGAAAATATATCTCGCGTTTGGACCAATGAAATTGCGCGATTTCAAATCACCGGGATATAATCACGTGACCGTGTCCGACTTCTGCGGCTGGCAGGGGTCTGGTGACATTCGAGCAATTTGGTTGTGCTGATTCAGAAGTCATATGACCACTGCCCAATCGCAACGCGTAGTTTAAAATTATGTGGGTGTGGTCACAGTAGGAAAATGTATTGTGCTATACGGTAGCGCACGTGCAGGTCATGTGTTTTGCTGATTCTGTTCTTCCCATTTTGTGGGTGGGGCTGGGCAAGAGACTAGGATCTGCTTTGCACGGTTTTTGGAAACGTCATGTCGCCTGGTGGTAAAGCTGCCGCTGTAGGCGTGCTAATGGCCTCGTTCCTGCTCTGGCTGTGGCTCTACGACGCTCGAGAAACAGACGAAGTCGCTGAGTGGCTGGAACAGCGGGGGCTCCTTCACCTCCGACGACACCGCCCCTTCAAACGTTAGTGTATTAGTCCACACAAATCTTCCTCACTTCGCCTCTATCTCTAGATTTGAGCAGTCTGGAGGAGCTGGTCAGAGTGGACCTGGACTCCCTGCCTAAGCCCCTGCAGTACTCCTCCTCCCTCCCTGTCCTCCGCCAGGAGCTCCAGCTGCTGCTGGAGCTGAGACTGTGGCTGCGGGAGAGGGATATGGAGGACCTTCTGCCCCAGCTCCTGGAGGCCGGGCACTCCTCCATTCATAGTCTGCTGGCTCTGGGTCCTTACGACATCAAGAAAGTTAGCTCCAGTTTGTTATATAGTGGAACCCTTGTACGACAGACACACTGGGACCTTAAAAACTCAGAGATTCAGACTATTATTAGCCACCGGATCGAAACAAGTGTCCTTTATTTGGAGTGTCCTTTATAAGAGGTTCCACAGGCATGCTTAAAATCTCTCCTCCCCTCCTTCTACACCTCCTCTACAGCTAGCCAGCCAGCTCTCACCTGCAGAACAAGGAGAGGTTTTCCGCGAGAAACTTACACGTCGTCACAATATCTCCATAGCCAGCTCGGATAACTCCATCAGTACGTCCACACTATTCTAAACCATACACAATACTAGTCTTACATGTCTACACATCTGCAGGTATTCGGTGGTTTCTACTGCGTATCTTTCTCTCCGTTCTGTTTGTAGTCATCTTCACCATTGCTCTATGTGTACATTGTTATGATAGTTCACAAACTTTCTGTGGTTTCTACTGCGTACCTTCCTCTCCGTTCTGGTTGTAGTCATCTTCACCATTGCTCTATGTGTACATTGTTATGATAGTTCAATAACTTTCTGTGGTTTCTACTGCGTACCTTCCTCTCCGTTCTGTTTGTAGTCATCTTCACCATTGCTCTATGTGTACATTGTATGATAGTTCAATAACTTTCTGTGGTTTCTACTGCGTACCTTCCTCTCCGTTCTGGTTGTAGTCATCTTCACCATTGCTCTATGTGTACATTGTTATGATAGTTCAATAACTTTCTGTAGTTTCTACTGCGTACCTTTCTCTCCGTTCTGTTTGTAGTCATCTTTACCATTGCTCTATGTGTACGATGTTATGATAGTTCAATAATTTTTGTATAGAAAAAATTATTGAACTCGTACTACAATACAGGAAATAAAAGTATGCGCGGCAACTTTGATCCGCCCACGCAAGTCACAATAAGTGTAAACGCATCAGTAAAAATATGGGTTATGACACACAGGGACAAGTTTGAGTTTGTGAATGATTACGTAGTACAATGAATAGAGAATTTGCACGCGCGATATGAGCCACACCAGAACCGCGCGAGAGCATTACGCGCAACGCGCATTGCGCTCTACGTGAGGGATTTCCCCTCCGCCCGTGTATGGCATGCTTAAAATCTCTCCTTTCCCTCCTTCTACACCTCCTCTACAGCTAGCCAGCCAGCTCTCACCTGCAGAACAGGAGAGGTTTTCCGCGAGAAACTTACACGTCATCACAATATCTCCATAGCCAGCTCAGCTAACTCCATCAGTACGTCCACACTATTCTAAACCATACACAATACTAGTCTTACATGTCTACACATCTGCAGGTATTCGGTGGTTTCTACTGCGTATCTTTCTCTCCGTTCTGTTTGTAGTCATCTTCACCATTGCTCTATGTGTACATTGTTATGATAGTTCACAAACTTTCTGTGGTTTCCTACTGCGTACCTTCCTCTCCGTTCTGGTTGTAGTCATCTTCACCATTGCTCTATGTGTACATTGTTATGATAGTTCAATAACTTTCTGTGGTTTCTACTGCGTACCTTCCTCTCCGTTCTGTTTGTAGTCATCTTCACCATTGCTCTATGTGTACATTGTTATGATAGTTCAATAACTTTCTGTGGTTTCTACTGCGTACCTTCCTCTCCGTTCTGGTTGTAGTCATCTTCACCATTGCTCTATGTGTACATTGTTATGATAGTTCAATAACTTTCTGTAGTTTCTACTGCGTACCTTTCTCTCCGTTCTGTTTGTAGTCATCTTTACCATTGCTCTATGTGTACGATGTTATGATAGTTCAATAATTTTTGTATAGAAAAATTATTGAACTCGTACTACAATACAGGAAATAAAAGTATGCGCGGCAACTTTGATCCGCCCACGCAAGTCACAATAAGTGTAAACGCATCAAGTAAAAATATGGGTTATGACACACAGGGACAAGTTTGAGTTTGTGAATGAATTACGTAGTACAATGAATAGAGAATTTGCACGCGCGATATGAGCCACACCAGAACCGCGCGAGAGCATTACGCGCAACGCGCATTGCGCTCTACGTGAGGGATTTCCCCTCCGCCCGTGTATGGCTCGTGCTATGCTCGCGTACACAGGGAAACATTATAATGTGGCAAACACCCTATTTTTACTTGATGTGTTCACAAGTATATACCATTATAGCACACTTTGAGGGAAAAGTTTCAGCAAATTTTCTTTGCAAATTTTGAGGGTGGAGACCATTGTACAGTGATATAAGCAATCCATGAGGTTTTTCCACCGAATCGAGAAGTGTTTTTTACCTCATAATTTCGTACGTGGCTGTTTACTTTCAGAAAGATCATATACATCGACCCGGAGGTCCTCGAACGCGCGGCAGCCTGGATAGGGCAGCATCAACGTGAAGACGGCTCGTTCGAGAACGTTGGATGTCCGTCACAACCTTGCTCCGTATGAGATGCAGAGATCGGATCGACTGAGGATAACTGTCACCCACACACCCACCGGGACAGCGGTCCCCCATCGGGTGGAGCCAGCCACGCCCAGCCAGCTCCGCCTCTCGTTCACCGCCTGTCAGACGGGGACTTACTCACTCCACATCAGGCTCAATGGGCGGAGTCTCGCTGGGTCCCCTGTCAACAGAACATTTCTTCCATGTAATGTAGCCAAATATGTCTGTATTGAGCGATGATAAGTGCAGTATTGCCGTTGCATCGCATCATGTAGAAACAATCGCATGTACACTTTAGATTTTACAGTACCATCCTTCCCGCAATGTTTTCATGTGCATAATTACGGCTTAAGACACTTTGTAGTACAACATTTTGCATTTGAAAGTGTGGGTAAAGACTAATTATTTGATCTTGCCTGTTCACTTCATGGCAGCAGACAGAGGAAGAGGGAGCTGGGTGTTGTTGAGTGCGTTAAGGTTCCTCCTTCAACCACCTCCCCAGCAGCAACAGAGAGGGGGCGGGGCCACTCTAGGCCACACCCCATATGACCAACAGGGCCAGACTCTGGAATGCGATCCCGGGAGGTGTCGGCTGGAATGGAACCAGGACGACGGAGCTCCAGTGGGCGGGGCATCTGTAGTGACCCTTCTTGTGAGTACAGGGAAAAACAAATCACAAATCAGTTTGCTAGCTGGTAACTATTACTAGTGGAAATGTTGAACATTGTTGGCGAGCGGGAGCAACCCAACTTGGGATTTGCCCGCGATGTTCGGGCTGCATAACGTGCCGTCAGCGCACAGCTTTCCTTTCGTGAAGCAAGACAGATCTACCTGTCGCCGTTACATGCGTACTGTGCATTGGCAGAACGGTATATACTTACCTTATGCTTTCAAGTCATGGTCCACCAGGCAGCTGGCATGCAGCAGTATCTGCACGAGCAATCCTAGGTAGCTTACTTTCAAGTTGTACCTTCGAACCATGAAAATTGGGAAGAGGTACAGCCTCGGTCAGTCACCGAAGGTTGCATCGCATGCTGTCGAATGGAGGAGAATTCACTGGCTGGCTAGATCGATCGGCGCATATCGCCGATCGCGAGGCAGCGTGTGTGTGTGTGTGAAATGTGTAAAAATTTTAAAAATGATTTCGGATAAAAAGAAGCGCGTAAGAAGCCGTGCATGCGCACTTACACGACGTACCAACGACGATAATAAAATAATATCGAAAATTCCGCTCGCTCCCGCTCGCCAATTATTTCATATGACACCCCAATAAATGTGTGTTGCATGCTTGCAAAGTGCTAATGAATGTACGGTCAGTTACTGTATATGAAAATTAAAAACAGTGAGAATTTATTCTCTCAATGATTGTGTATACTCTAGCTGGTGTCACGGGACTCCACCCCCTACA